CCGGGCGCCGTCCGCCGCATGCGTACCTAGGCCGAGGCCCGCCCCGCTCGCAAGGCCGCATCTTTATTTGATTTCGTTCATGGTTTTTGGTTAGGCTGAAGTTTTGCGGGTCGGGTTAAACTCGGGACCTCCGCCAAGAGGCCCCGTGTGTTTCTGTATTTATTTATTTTTTTTGATTTCCAAAATGGCAGCCTCCAGCCGCGCACGAGTGTTAGATCTGTACCGGGCGATGCTGAGAGAGAGCAAGCGTTTCAGCGCATACAACTACAGGTGACCCGGCGGGCGGCGGGGCCAGGAGGGATGGGGAGCCACCGTCCTGGGCCGGCGGCCTCAGGATAGTGACTGGGACTCGCCACCGAAAAGCGTGCTCCTGCCCACAGGTGTGACTCTCTGAAGCAGGAGGAGCAGTGGGCTTCGCTTGTCCCTCTTTGTCGTAGGGAGGGCGATCAAATCTTGTGACGTTTCCCCCCCCCCCCCAAGACGGATACTTTAGATCGTGCTCTAGAAGCCTGATTAGTGTCATGTTTCTGCGGTTAAAAAAGAAGAAGAAGAATGGAAATCAGCAAGGGGTGAAGTTAGGGCCAGTGTGTTGCATATATAAAACTTCCCTTGAGAATCTGAAGAGTTGAGAGTGGAAGTGGCCGGTCGGTAGCACATGGCCACACATCTTAAGGCTCGCTCTAGCCCTCCCTTTTATTTCGGAGGTATCTTAGTTCTTTTGGTTGCCAGAGTCCAATCCATTGTACTTAGGATACAGTGGGTACACAAGTACTGGTAAATGGAAAAAAGGGTTTAAGATGCTGTCAGGAGTTGAAATGTTAGTTTATCCTGGCTCACCAGGCAGGGATCCCGCTTATGTGTTCTTAACAGTAGGACAAGGAGAGTCTAAACTCTTACGTCTTTAGTATAGCACGCTCAGTTTTTCCGTGCCCGCTCCATTCCCTTGTTTACTTATGAGTCCCTTATTCCTACTCTTTTTATGTATCTTTTTTCTAATTCAAAGCCTCTGCTGTCACATAGTTTCTGCTTCCTTATAACCTCTGACCCATCATTATTTTATATATGTTATGGATTCTTTATCTGCATTCTTTCAGATTTGGTGTGTTTACTAACTACCTCATCCCCTGTGAGTCTGAGTCATATTCCCGAGAACAAGAACCTGATTGGACCAGCTCATCTCTTTACACCCGACCTCACTTAAGTGATTGACTGTTCTGTGGATTGGGTGTCATAGGAGCAGAACCTATATCTGAAACAAACCTGTATAGATAGGCTCCCCTCTACTAGGTGTGAGCTGACAGGCACTGTGATGGGTAGGCCCTGTACAACCTTGCCAGATGACAGGAACTCTCAGCCTCTCAAGCAGTGACTGTAAATTTTTTAGAAACCTACCTAGAAGATGTATTCATCTTATAAATTTGAGAACAGCATCAAGGTCATATAAATAAGGCCATATCCGTCCAGTCAAGTGGCTAAAAGAAACATCTCATAGGAAAGCATGATTTTACCTAATGACTTTGGCTTTGGAAGGTAAACAATGTAAACAGGAGGCAGACTGGTGGATATTTAACAAAAATTAATCCAATACCTAGCATCAAGTACTTAAGCAAGTCTGTTGAGGGAATGCACAAAATGCTAGTAAATAAGTAGAAACTAGTCATTTTTACCACCATCTGGAAGAAGCTATTTTGTCATTTAAACTTACTCAGAATAAAAAAGGACTGGGAATCAGCACATGGTTCACACACTGAAGAATCAATGTCAGGGAGAGGGTATATTTGAGAGCACATTGTGGGAAAGTTCCCTTGGAGAATATAACTTGGACTGGTCACTGAATCTCTATTTTAGCTTTCCTGTTTCTAAAATTAGGCTATTGGACTAGACAGTCTCTAAGGATTTTTCCATTTCTAAAATTCCATTTGGAAATGATTTGTAAGCAAATGAGATCCAAGTTTTTTCAAGCGAATAAATGCCAATTCAACAGGAATCATTGCAGGAACATCATGCAAGGCTGTACCTGGTAGGCAGGAAATTGGAAATGAATTTTAATATGAGCAAGCAACTGTAAGAGGACATGCATTTAGAAAATAATTGGTCAAATTGTTTTTGAGTGTATGCTTTTAAGCTAAATTTATTATTTTCACATAAATGTATTATCCAAAGGAATCTGGTAATCATTTTACACTGTTGCCTGAAATCATGGACCTAAAACCTGAGATTTCTGCCAGTATCATCTCCCAAGATAATAAATTTACGTGTTATAAAATATGTTCTTTTATATTAAGGCTAAATCTTGGGAATTTCAAGGATATCTGCTTCCCTCTTCTCTAATCTCAGTAGCTCTTGGTTACTAATGGCAGATCAATAGTGAACAATACCCATTAATCAATTCTGTCTGCCACTACTGTTTTATATTCTTTACATCTGTTACTACATTGATTTTGATAACCTTCTGAGTTAGTTGCTATTTTTATGACCCAGTAAGGCAACTGAGGCACAGAGAAATTGTTACCAATCGAAAGTCACACAGCTAGTGCTGTATAAGTAATCAAAAGTAGACTAGTGCAGATGTTAAGCAACCTGAAAATTGTGATGCCTAAAGTAATTGTAGTGGTGAAATAAATATTTTGGAATTCTCTTGAAAGACAGAGAGAGAGAGAGAGAGAGAGAGAGAGAGGCAGAGAGAGAGGCGCCACATCTTAATAGCATGACCCCTGTCTGCTTCTCCAGTCTCAACCCAGCAAGTCCCACACATGCATCCAGCCCTCTGTCATAATCATTTGCAGTTTCTGAAATGTGCCATGTCCTCTTTGGTCTCTAGGCCTTTGCAAGTACTGTTCTATCTGGCATGCTCTTCACCACCCCTATCTAGAGTTCCTCTTCCTTCAAGATTCAGCTCTGTCACAACCTCTAAACAAGGTTTTCTGGTTCTCCCCATCCCACAGCTCCCATTCTCATCCCTACGCCTGTTTTAACAGGTCCCGATTATATGTGTTCTTTTACCTCAGTACTTCTAAAAAACTGAACCCTACTTAGCCAAGTGCTATCCCAAGCCCTGGAGATAGAAACATGAGAGTTTTGAACTCAGAGAGGCACTTTCCATCAATGGCTTCACAGACTATGTGGTACAAAGAAATAAAAGCAGTTTTCACAGACTGTGCTGCATGCTGTGACACCTATTTATAAATGAATTAATAAATCTAATACATGCTAACATCACATTTTTATAAAGAGTAACTATCAAAGAAGTATGCACAGGGTAGAATCAAGAAGGGTTTCCCAAAAGGTGACATTGAATCAAAGACATGAAGCAGCCTATTATGCTCAAGCAGTGAAAAACAGTAGAGCATTGCTGGAAAGAGTTAAGTGGGATTCAGAGGATGAGACTGAGATTGGAAAAGGCCACCTTTTCCAGGGTCCATGGGCCATACTGAGTAACATGGACTCGTAGGCAGCCAATAGCAAGACATAGCCAGACATAGTGGCTTGTAGTTCCATCTATTCCAGAGGCTGAGGCAGGAAGCCCAGGAGTTCCAGGCTACGATCACACCACTGCACTCCAGCCTGGACTACAGTGAGACCCCATCTAAAAAATAAATATACTAAAAATAACTAAATAAATACACATCAAGCTCTTGTCAAATAAGCACTCAGTAAGTAAAATTATCATAAATGGAGTTAAAATCTTGATATCATGAAATCTCCAAGAAGAATATTTAGTTTAGTGGTTGTCATCCTGGGATGATTTTATTTGGCAATATCTGGAGAAATTTTTGGTTGTTACAACTTGGATAGGAATGCTACTGGTATCTGACAGTTGGAGGCCAGGGATACATGGAGCATCCCCCATTAACAAAGAATTCGTGACCTGAAAAGTCAGTCATGCCAAGATTGGAAAATCCTATTTAGATGAGAACATTAGTAGTTTAAGGATGTGACTCTAGGGAACATCAAAATTGAAGGGGTGGGACAAAGGGGAGCCTCCTTTGGAGGCCAAGAAGACACAGTGTAAGAACATGATTCTCCAAGCCGGGTTTGGTGGTTCAGCCTGTAATCCCATGCTTTGAGAGGCTGAGGTAAGTGAATTGCCTGAGCCCGCGGGTTCGAGACCCGCCTGGGCAACTTGGCGAGACCTCATCTCTACAATAAATCAAAAAATTAGCCGGATGTGGTAGCGCGCGCCTGTAGTTCCAGCTACTTGGAAGGCTGAGGCAGAAGGATCGCCGGAGCCCAGCAGGTCGAGGCTGCGGTGGCCGGGAGCATGCCACTGCACTTAGTCTGGGCGACAGAGTGAGACTCCAACAACAACAACAAAAAAGTACATGATTCTCAAGCTTAGTGATCTCAGGACCCTTTTACATTTTTAAATGTTGCTGAGCACCTGAAGAACATTTTGTTTATGTGGAGAATAGTTAATCTATATTTATCATATTGGAAATTAAAACCAAAACCTTTTTAAAACACCTATTTTAAATGATTTAATCTATTACATGTTAATATACACAACATTTTTACGAAGAATAATTATTTTCCCCCCAAAAAATCAGAAGAGTGATATTGTTTGACATCTTACAGATCTCTTTAATGTTCAGTTTAATAGAAGATGGCTGGATGCTTATATTTGTTTCTACCTAAGATTTTTTGCCAGCTCACATGTTAACTTATCTAATAAATTCCACTGTATACTCCGAAAGAGAATGAGAAAGGGAAACGTCTTCTTGGTACTTATGAAAGTACTTTTCCTGAAGGATCTCCTGAAAGGTCTCAGAAATTCCCATGTAGCCTTGGATAACTACTATAGTGTCTAAAAAACGAGACGAGAACAAGCAAAGAGAGTAGGGTGGTGAAAGTCAAGATGGTCATGTACCACTGCACTCTAGTCTGGGCGACAGAGTGAGACTCCAACTCAAAAAAAAAAAGGAAAGCAAACATCTCCAAGACTTGACTTTAGAATTTTCTCCTTATTTGCCTTCTTTTCCCTGAAATTGTGACTCCTTAACTAATTTGCCTTATATATTGTATTCAGTATCATGAATGAGCATCATGAGTGAGGCAGTCTTGACTTAGAAAGTTTTCTGGCCTTTAAGTTAAGAGATGGTTCAAATTTTAGGTCAGTAGGTTTTTGATTGGTATAAATCATTTACTTCTGTGTGTCATCTATAAATTGAGAATCCCAGAGTTGCAAAACTTTTCTAGCAGAATGTTTAGTATTCTAATAGGTGGTCCAAAATCACTTCTGTATTTCAGCAGATGCAAGCGTTTCAGTTGCT